CTCTCCAACACGAAACTATACAGTAGGTGATCTGCACTCTCTCCAACACGAAACTATACAGTAGGTGATCTGCACTCTCTCCAACACGAAACTATACAGTAGGTGATCTGCACTCTCTCCAACACGAAACTATACAGTAGGTGATCTACACTCTCTCCAACACGAAACTATACAGTAGGTGATCTACACTCTCTCCACCACCATAGATCGAAACCCGGATTTTAGCGTTGAAACTCCGCAGACTTGCTGGAGGGGGACGTTTATAAATACGTCTAGTGATTACCAGCATATTTTACAAATATAAATTTCGTTGTCTTAATACGCTACGAGGACTGTTACGTCACGAAAAAAAAAGATTTTTGACATCAAAACCCTTGTTGTTTACAAGAAAGTCCACTTTTGACTGATTCTAGCTAAGCCCAGTCTCGTTTGGACTATGAAATGAGAATGACTCAACCCTTTGAAACTTGACTTTAACATACCATGTGTTTGAATGTATATATATTAAAGGCTTAACAAGACATGGTTGGAATGCTTAAGGTTATTCTAAGCACGAAAATAGCGTGCAGGAGTAGCCTATTGCGCACAAGAGTGGATAACACGATGCACAAATTAATGGAGTTTTTACAGTTATCTTTGTTAATGCATTCCTTATAATGAAGTGTGTAATGCGAAAATATGTGTAGGTACAAGTTCCTTAATTAGGACTAGATACTTTTGGGGATAATTAATGAAACATGGTTTTACTTTGTTAATACATATTAACTCAAGGTGTAGTGGATTATTTTTTTGTTCTTGCACAATCTGAACAATTTAAAAAAATAAATGCAAACTCAATTGCAGTAATGAAAAAAAATTGTCTGTAAACACACGTATTGTATTTAGGAACAAAGCCACTACGGCCGTGCCTTGAAACACTTTCAGTTGAATTCTTCGCTCAGGTTAATAAAAATTGACTTAATTTGTAAGAAAATAAATAGATACTAGGTAACAGTTGAAATTTGGAGATATTTATGAGTTATTGACACAACCTGAGAAGTGTTTGTGTGCATTTTGACTACTAGCGTTTCAGTGGAAAAATATGTATAGGTCTAATTAGAAAAACATACTTTTGTGGATAATTAATTAAATTTGCTTCGTTTGTTTCGAATTTTGCGCAAAGTTACACGAGGGCTATCTGTGTTAGTCGTCCCTAATTCAGCAGTGTAAGATTAGAGGGAAGGAAGCTAGTCATCACCACCCACCGCCAACTCTTGGGCTACTATTTTATCAATGAATAGTGTGATTGATTGTAACATTTATAACGCCCTCACGGTTAAAAGGACGAGCATGTTTAGTGGGAAGAGGATTCGAACCCGCAACCCTCAGATTGCGAGTCGAGCCATGTCAGGCATAATTAAAAGTAGAATGGACTTGTTTTCTTGTCTGTTCATAAAATTTAATTGTTTTTCTAGATCAAATTGTCTTACAAAACACTGATATAATGGTAGTCGCTATATATAAAGGTAACTTCTTTGAGAGTTACATAATCCAATACTTCGCCTTCAAAAGATGAAAACGGGAGATATTTGAAACGAAACCGACAATTTTAAGCTTTGTGGTTCCCAGGCAACGTTTTTACTCTTTTGGCAAAATTGTAGCTAACTGGCTTCAAAGAAATACGTTCCGAGTGCAATTTAAAGAGTTACTACTGAGTGTTTTAACCACTGCCACTTTTATTTAATTGCAACACGTGGAATTTCACGCCTGTGGTCATAGATATGGCCTTTATTTCCTCTTTGGGTTGCAGGTTTGAGGGATTAGCTATTTGGGGTCACTGTACGTCAGGTATAGTTTTGTTTTACATATTTCTTTTATGAAAAATATTAGTTACAAACCACTTTGGTAGGAAACAGTTTATTCACTGTTGCTGGATTACTAGCCTTTCTAACCTTTTGAAAGAAAGCAGATGCTTTTATATCTGAAATTGGATTTGGCATTTGATAAAGACAATGTACTTTGCTTAAAATGCAATATTCATTAAATTAACTTAACGGAATTATCAAGATTCTTCTGTTAAATTTAACCAACTTAATACTTTGATTTAAGTTTTGTTAAGTTTTTCGCCATTAGCTTATAGCGGGTGTCTCATACAACTTCAGTGTGACCAAATTACCTACAAGTTTAATCCATTGAGCCATGTGTCATATCTTACAACGACGTTTATTAAATAAAGAATTATTTATGGATTGGTGCATGCCCACTCAATGCTCATTTCCAGATACTTGAAGAACGACATATTAGTGATCACAAGGTTGGAGGAATAGCATGATTTCAAAATAATTTTAAGCATATGAATAAAGTTCGTATAAGTTAACCACTATTAAGCACAATGAAGTTGGTCATGCATAAATTATAGACTTTATAAAATACACTTTACCTATATAATACAAATAACTTAAATAACCTTATAAGTTACCAATATTAGGTTGTCACTGCCATTAGCCTAGTATTTAAAAAAACATAAAAACGTCATGAACCCTCCCAACTGTTGATTATCTTTCAAATATTGAGCTTTTGTAAGTGTAATAAACGTCACTTCTCTAATCACTATAACAGTTTTATATCTCCTTTTCTAAGTTATTTTCACAAACATGTCCCAGCCACAGGAGCATGCATTAACCTACAAAGACGTTGGACATTATAACCCCATCTCCAGAGCTTCCAGCTCACTCGCTAATAGGGTATTAGTGTGTGTGTTTTTTTTCCAAAACTATTTCGCGAAAAAAATAAAAAAAACTTTTAGGTCGCTTATGTCAAAATTTGGAGGCGGTGAAATATCACAGAGTTCAAGAAAATAGATATTAGAGACAAATAGTAGTTAACATGTAAAACGCCGCCTCCAGCAACCCGGGCGGAACATTGCCACCTAGGAATGATGGTCCACATCATCTTGCCAAATGCCATGAGATATGTATCCGTGGTTAAAACACTCAGTAGGTCGGTGACATTTTACAGCGTTTTCAGCTCTTTAAATTGCATTCGAAACGTGTTTCTTTGGAGCCAGTTAGCTAAAATTTCAACGCCAGAAGCCTGATAGTCCGCATCTCCCTGTAGACGATCACGCCCTATCGTCAAGCTCATAAAACAGGGTGATATTTTGTCTAGGGCGTGATTTAACTGTCGCCGGATGTGTTGTTTTCACGTCAAATTTTCTCTTTGGCTCTGTTCAGTGCTAGTGCTTCCTTACTTTAGACTGTTAAATATGACGTTTTTTATCACAGGAAACAGCAACCAGAACGTTGGTCTCCTTATCTAAAGGCTTCTTTTTCGCAAATGTCTTTTAAAAAATTACCTCATCAGAATTCTGAAGGAGTGCTCCGCACAAATATCGTGTAAAAGAAAGGCCACAGAGTGTTTCCAGTTCAGAATATAATGGATTAAAATGCCAACTTGATTTTTCTTTAATATGTGTTTATTCTTCTAGCCATTCTTTTACAGTTAATCAGATTATTTAATTCTCTTACTGATTCACATTAATGTATCAGTATTGATTGAAAGAAAGATAGCCGTTTGTCTTATTATCTTGTAATATAATGTTTAGTTTTATATCTGGTGAGTGCAATTTTCTTTTAAACTGCGTCTCATATATGTTATATTCCATTTTGATATGCGTACATACAGAAGTAGGTTATTTATGACGTTGGTCACAAAAAGATGAAAAGAAGTATTAGATAGGGTTGTTTGTTTGCTTTTAAAATAGTAAC